CAATTAATTGCACTCATTAGTTACCTTCAATTAGCTTTACATTCTTATTTAGTTGGACAACACCAAGAATCCAATGTTGTGTAGCTGACAATTTAATTTGCAATGTAATGCCAAGTAGCAGGCAGCATCAATTTCATCCTCCATTTGTCTTCCGCATCCTACCTTGAGAAAAGAGATAAAGACAGATAGAAAAGGAGAACAGTAGAGTGACAACCCCTTCCCATGAGGAGAACTCTCGACTCCATCAGAGCACTGGTAATGAGTGGACTCCTGTGGGGAACTCTCCAAATGGACTAATTTGTAATTGATTCAGTGCATTAATTACCGGCCTGGTTACGCCTGTGTCATGGTTAATATTGTGCCGATCTGACAAGGCTGAGAGGCCCGTCTGCATTGGGACTGTTCGGGTGAGGCAGCCATTATTCAATTATGCCGCGCACATCGGCGAGGAGGCAAGTCTTAATCCGAGAGTAATCACTTCCCCACACTCCCCTACTATGAGCTGACGTGTGGAAGGAGGGTGTTGGGCTCAGAGGTAGTCTTAGATCCATGTAGCCCACGGTGAGCTCCTTAATCAGGACTTGGAAGCAATTCGCTTTAGTGTCTCAAAGTTTTCTAGAAGTGAAAGAAAATGTGGCACTGTAATACAAGTTTACAATGATTCTATTATGAAACAATGTGTTGTAGATACAGTATGTGTCTTGATTCCAGTTTTCATGTGGTAATCCCTATTTTTTCCCAACAGTTTTTCCTGTCTGTGTTTTGACTGAGAAGACACAAATGTTAGTTGTGAACGATTAGAAGTTACAATTAACCAAAGGTGTGCAACATAGTGTATATTGTTATGCAACTCTTGGATCATCTTGACTGCTAAGGAGGTGACGCTGCCATCATGGGTACATTTTCTTTTCTGCTAAGGCACAGATGCCTTTAGTGCAGAGACACTTATTTATTCACACTGGATTCCACCTTTAGTGATATCAAGAACAATATAACTCACACACCAATGTGTGTGTGCTGGGATGGTAACAGTAAGCCTTCTACCTGATCAGCTTCATAAGGAATTGATTTTTTCCTCCTTTGTGACAGCTCAATGCTCACTATAAAAATAAATGGTGTATTTCAAGGTACTGAGTGCTGTCCATGTGACTCATCAAAAGAGGCCATGCGTTCTACTTCTACTTACAAAACAAGTGCATAGCACCAACTGTACAATCCCTTTTCTTCCCTTGATCAACTTTTAGCTCAAAAACAGTCCGTTTCCAGCCCTGAGCAAGGAGAAGATAAAAAAGAGGGCTCTCTCTCTCCCTAACAGTTGACTATATTTCTGCTTTGATCTACCACGGCCATCCCCAAACCATTCTCTAAGAGTTTGGACTGAGCACAACACAACAAAAACAACACCCACGGCCATGGGTTAACCAGACTCCATTGTGCCCTTCACTGCATATTTCAGTGCAGCAATCTAAACAGCGCCTGCAGGAGCCTTATATCACCTACAGTCTGCTCTGTATGGGGCACGTCTACTTTCTATTTGGACAGAACATTTTCATGCAGGAACATCCAAAACAGACATTCTCAAACTCACTTTCAGGCATCTTTGACACACCTTAAGGGTATTCTAACGTTTTACCAGGAGTCATTTTTGCCTTTTTTGTCAGATTTAAGGGACATACCAATCACCCTCAGGGAGTGCTATACTGGTCCTAATCAAATTAGAAGTAAAGCAAGACACTTCTGTGCAGGGGGGTTGTCACACAGCGGTTCGGTTACTTGAGTCCTCCAGTGGTGCCCCAGTGAGAATGTAAAGTGTTGCTGTGAGGGAGCCTCGGCCACGCTTAATGGTCCTAACAGCATTATTAGCTAATAAAGGTTGATGGGCCACATGACTCAATAAATTCAGGAGGACAGGAGAAGAAGAAGCAGTGGCCGTGAAAAGGTGAGGTTTTAGTCTGGGAATTTATGTGTCTGCCATGTTTTGCAACCCAGGCACAAATTGCGCAAGGATCATGGTGGTTTGAAAAATAGAAGCGTTGCTCATTTATGTTTTAAAATCTTAAAAAGTATAAAGAATTGGAGGCATCTCACTCAATCACTTATGTTTAATGTGTTGCTCATCATACCATGTTATGAACTCTATAACAAAAACAGATAAGATAAAGTTAGAGTTGAATGAACTAAGGTCGCTGTTTGGCAAACTCGACACGTATCAATCTACATAAAAGGTATCTGCTACTAAATTGCAATATCAACTACTTATGGCATCTTTGTGCAAGTACAAAAACACTATTGCAGAACTATAATAATATCATTATGTTTAAAACACAAAAACAACTTTGGAAAGTAATTATTCATGAAAGGCATGGACACTAAACGTTAAAACAATTACAATGCCAGACATCTACCAACAATTGCTCAAAAATGCCCTATTTATACAGTATAATTGTCTAATCTTGAGTTAGGTGATGGCCCAATAAAACAAGTATAAAAAAAGGAAGACAAAATAGGTTAAATGGCCTCCTTCTTATATTTGACCACAGAGGAAATCTATGAAATTGAAGATAACAGGTCTTCTTGCTCTCTCCACAGGGAACCAAGGGATTCGTTTTCTGACCCACTTCACGCACGCTCGCACACCTTCGTTTCATATACTTTTAGGACATATGACGTATTATCTCCAGGAAATTAATTGGTCTTTTTCACAGCACACTGTTTGCCTTGTCATAGCAGGGAAAACAGAGGTGAAACTTATATCATTAACGATGGCTTTGCTCAGGATTCTCAATTTTACAGCAGCCCTCGTTAATGTTATCGGTTACACCTGTGCACTTCCTGCTATACGTGTCCTTGTAAAACCCTGAGAGAAGTCCCATTTAATAGAGTTTTTTTAAATAGACGTTTAAAAACATATTACATGTATAGTATTCATTCAAGTTTCAAAAAAGGTAAAGTTAGCTGCTGCAAAGGCTATACACAATTTTATTTCTGTCCTACAGAGACAAACGTTCCTGTAAAATACTACAAAGTTGTGCGTGTATGCTTGTTAGCTTTTTGTGAATATGGGGTCATTGGGGAGTTTGATTTGAAGTATATGAGGGAGCAGCTTAGAGGCTGTTAACAAAGTGAAAAAGGATGAATATCTGAATCTTTTCAAAGGACATCTCATGAGCACCTAAGAGTTCGTCATAACAAAGAAGTTAACTTGTCAACAAACAGACGCATGAGCTCTGGCAGTTATCCTGTGCGATTGCAATTGTGCTAGGGCTGCTCAATTAATTGTATTAATCGTACGGTTGCTCGGCTCTGCGACTGCGGGTTGAACATTTCAGGCACAGACACACACCAGGTCTGCTCGTCCTGCCTCGGGCTGGAACACCCCCAGGAGGCTATTGACAACCCCAGCTCGTGCGGACATTGCTCCCGCTTCACCCGAGAATGGACCTCCTCATGTACACTGATGCGCCGGATGGCTATCAGGACACGAGGGCGCCCACCGCTAAGATTGAACCCCGCACTGTGTCGGTCTGGGGCTCATCTACAGCGGCAGCTGCAAAACCAGAGTCCAGCCCTGTGTCAGGCTGGAACTCGGTAGAAGCTAGAGACGTGAGATTGGGGCCCCACGCTACACCAAGCTGGGGCTCCCAGCTGGACCTCACCATGGCCGCACTCGCGGATGATGTCCTGGAGTCGGAATGCGTGGAGAACGAAGAGGATTCCTCTGAGTTCCTTCTCTCTGACTCGGATGTGCAGGAAGAGGACATCTTCACGCCATCAGCTCAAGCTGCAATGCCAGGAGCGATGGCTGCTCCCCCGGGCGATAGCACACCAGCTTCGCCCTGTCTGGGTATGGACCTGCAGGCCGTGTGTCAACATGCCGCGTCCAGGCTAGACATTCCATGGCCTGAGATGGCCAAGGAGACTTCTAGGTCCCGCTACGAGGGGAAAACTGTGCCCCAAGCAGCGAGGAGAAAGAGGCAACTCCTTCCATTCTTCCCGGAGATGCTGGACGAGGTGTCGGTCTCCTGGAGAGACCGCCCCTTCAGTAATAAGGCCCCAATCCAGGGTGCCTCCTCCCTGGACTGTGACGGTATGGAGAGGCTCGGCCTGCTCCGCATACCGCCCATGGAACCGCTGGTGGCAGACCACCTCCAACCGAGGCTGGCTCCGACACCAAGCAGGAACCCCACGCTACCGGTGAAGGCAGACCGATTGCAGTCCGCGTTGGCTGATCGGGCCTTCAAGGCCGCAGCGTTGTCCGCCAGGGCACTCAACATATCCTCACTGCTGACCGCCTACCAGACGGAGCTCTGCGAGGACCTGTCGAGCAAACCTGGGCCGGCCGTGTGGGACGAAATCGCAGCGATCACGGACATTTGCCTCCGTGTGCAGCGCTTTGCAGTCCAGGCCACGGGCAAAGCCATGGGCGTAATGGTGGTACAGGAGACCCCAGGTGGCTCAACCTGACCAACCTCCCAGACCGGGAAAAAGAGGATGTTCTCGACATGCCTATCGTTCCCGAGGGTATTTTCGGCTCCGCTCTAGTCTCGATGCAGCGGAGGTGTGAGTCGAAAAAGAAGGAAGACGAGGCCCTCCACCTCTGTCTCCCCCGAAGGGTCCAGCCGCTACCTGCGACGTTCTGGCTGCAGTCCTTCGCCCAAGTTGCCTCACGTCCTGCCCGGTTCAAGGTACCGAGGCAGCAGAGGCCACAGCCCGCCCCGAGTCCCCAGCCCAGGCAGGAGATGAGGACGAGCTTGCCGAGAAAATCTCCGGTTCCGGCAGCAGCCGTTCAGGCACAGCCGACTCAGATTTTCAGTCACCAGTCGAGGAAGAAGAAGCGGGCGGCCTGACTGCCTCCTCTCCTCTCCTCGGTGACAGAGCTGGAAGTTCCCTGTTCCCCAGCTCCAGATGTGTTTTCGGGGTGCCACCAGGGTGCCACCAGGCCCCCCATCTTCCCGCCGCCTCGTCTCCTCTCTCTGAGAGCGACGCACGTACCAGGAGTGATGAACCTCGGGGCAGACCTGCTGTCCAGAGGTGTACCACTGTATGCAGACTGGACTCTACATCCAATGGTTGTGAGTCAGCTGTGGGTGCGTTACGGCCGAGCCGCGGTGGATCTGTTCGCATCAAAAGAAAATGCTCATTGTCAGCTGTTATTTTCAATGCGCGATCTAAACGCACCGTTAGGCGTGGACGCGCTCGCGCACGTTTGGCCTCCGGTCCTTCTGTACGCGTTCCCACCCCTGGCTCTGATACCCCCAACTCTGGCCAGAGTGAGAGAACAGCGCCACACACTGATCCTGATAGCTCCGCACTGGCCTGCAATGTACTGGCTGGCGGAGATTTATCAGCTGCTGTGCGGACAGCCGTGGCAGCTCCCCCTACGCAGGGACATACTGTCTCAGGCGGGGGGGACGATATTTCACCCACACCCGGAGCGCCTGGCCCTATGGGCCTGGCCCGTGAGTGGTACAATCTGAATACAGTGGGTCTCCCGCAGAAGGTGATAAACACTATTCAGAGTGCAAGAGCTTCCTCCACCAGGTCTCTCTATGACTGTAAGTGGAGAGTGTTTGAGGAGTGGTGCCTTCAAAAAGG